GATGAGAGGGACGGTGCGTGGGCGTGAGGCGAGGGTGTGGGCGTGCCAGTATGAGCTCCGGGTGGCGGTTAGACTGGCGTGGGTCGTCGGGGTCACTGTGGAGCCGCGGGCGGGATTGTGACGGTCCTGACGGCCTCGATCTCCTTAACGGAGCCCGCCATGTTCCTCCCTCAGGCAGCGGCGGCCGTGAGGGCGGCCGAAATCGCCGCAAGGGGCTTCGCAAGCGGTTTCTATCCTTGACGGAGGGTCTGGCCAGCTTCCTTTCGGGAGACAAAAAGGAGAAGGAGTCGATAAAACCCGCCAACTTCCGTCCATTCGACCACTCGACAGACCTGGACGTAACCAACTCGGGCTACTGCTCCGACTACAGCTCAGATTGTCGCGCTGAGCACCGGCGCAAGAACAGCAACTCCAGTCTTTCCTCCTTCAAGGGCGTTGCCCCGAGCGTCGCATTTTGGACGAACCCCGTCAACGGGCGTCCCGCAGGGCACGTGGTGGGTAGCGCTTGTTCCAAGAGTCAGGGGTCGGTGAAGGCGCCGCCCAGCCCGCCGCCCCGCAGGTTCTCCCTCTGGGCCATGGACGTCCGCTATGACCACTACTATTTCCCTGACCCCCTGAGACCCGCTGCCTCCGTCACCTACGAGCCGTCCATCATGCCCGTCAAGCCGTTGCCGCCCCCACCGCCCATCCGTTACTACAACATGGCACCACCCAAGTCGCCACTAATGAGTCGCCACACCTCGCCCAGGCCACAGCCACCCTCCCCGTCAGTGATATCACTAGTGGCCCCCAAGCGGCCCCGCACCCCACCATCACCCCGCTCACAGAGTCCCTTCAGGAGCGGGACACCACCGACCCCTAGGGTGTCCACACCCATGGGGTCGCCTGTAATGCGGGGCCGCAGCTTGTCTGACAGCCGCACTGATGCCTCCCGGGCGGGATCTGAGGTCCGCGGCCGGGAGTCCCGCGCCGAGTGGTACCGCCGCAAGTCTCAAGCCCGCAGACGGGCCCAATCACGTTAGTACCGCGCTCGGCTGTTACCCTTATTATGTTTTGAATATATTATTAAACAGGTAGTGATGCCTGTAGGACCCACTTTTACATTCAGTGTTGGGGGGTATGACCTGTAAATACCGCCTCTGCTGCCTGTACCATTGTACCCTTAACTTGTGATATGAGTCACCCGGGCAGGAAGGCATCACTAAGGTGCAGTACAAAACTAACATTTCTGAACCGTAACTGTTCACCGTCCACAGATGACGTCGTGAACGGTAGGTAACGAGCACCTGAGACCACCAATATATATTACCAACACACACATAAGAGTAATATTGTAGGTATGTATGTATACTTGTGCAGTATAAACCTCATGCTAACTCGTAGTCGTCAGTATTACTCATTAATAATACTGAGACGCCTCCACACTGACTTACTCTACTTGATCCATCAGTGTAAGAGTCTAGCAATTACGAAAGACGTGTAAACACCACTTGATGTAGACACTGTGACGATTTAGTAATAATTAATTGACTATATAAAATCAATAGGTCACAGTATCACATTGGTGGTGGTTGACGTCTTCCTTGTACTGCTTCACTGCTTAGGGTCTAGTATACAGTATGTTCCACGGGTAGCATTAGTCTCTCTCTCTCTCTCTCTCTCTCTCTCTCTCTCTCTCTCTCTCTCTCTCAGCACGTTTCGTAAGAGGTGCCAATTAAAAAACACTAAAGGTAACAATTGTCTCATAAAAAACCATTAATGACATAGTTACTCCACCTGTCGCCCCTAGTGTAGTGCTGGGTGGTGTGTGTCGCCCCTAGTGTAGTGCTGGGTGGTGTGTGTCGCCCCTAGTGTAGTGCTGGGTGGTGTGTGTCGCCCCTAGTGTAGTGCTGGGTGGTGTGTGTCGCCCCAGTGTAGTGCTGGTGGTGAGTGTCGCCCTAGTGTAGTGCTGGGTGATGTGTGTCGCCCCTAGTGTGCTGGGTGGTGAGTGTCGCCCCTAGTTTAGTGCTGGGTGGTGTGTGTCGCCCCTAGTGTAGTGCTGGGTGGTGTAGTGTCGCCCCTAGTGTAGTGCTGGGTGGTGAGTGTCGCCCCTAGTGTAGTGCTGGTGGTGTGTGTCGCCCTAGTGTAGTGCTGGTGGTGTGTGTCGCCCCAGTGTAGTGCTGGGTGGTGTGTGTCGCCCCTAGTGTAGTGCTGGGTGGTGTGTGTCGCCCCTAGTGTAGTGCTGGGTGAGTGTCGCCCCTAGTGTAGTGCTGGGTGATGTGCGTCGCCCTAGTAGTGCTGGGTGGTGTGTGTCGCCCCCAGTAGTGCGTGGTGAGTGTCGCCCCTAGTGTAGTGCTGGGTGGTGTGTGTCGCCCTAGTGTAGTGCTGTGGTGTGTCGCCCTAGTGTAGTGCTGGGTGGTGTGTCGCCCCTAGTGTAGTGCTGGGTGGTGTGTGTCGCCCTAGTGTAGTGCTGGGTGATGTGCGTCGCCCCTAGTGTAGTGCTGGGTGATGTGCGTCGCCCTAGTGTAGTGCTGGTGGTGTGTGTCGCCCCTAGTGTAGTGCTGGGTGATGTGGTATGTAGGCTAGAGATGGAAAATATTAATTATATACAGTCATAAAACATGTCGAGTTACGTAGTAGTATCAAGTGTTAATAGTGACGTAGTGAATAGCATTAACAACTGGAGGGAAAAAACCTAACCTAACCTAACCTAACCTAACCTCTTTTATAACGGGTTATTGACACATCAACTTGAGGTGGTTGTGGAATTTTCTTTTAGTCTATTTTCTAACAAAATTATATACAGAGCAAGACCACAATGTACTTAAAATGGTAAGATAAGTTAGTATATAGGATGTCCCTTGGGTGGGTTTACTGCATAGTGTGAGGGGTAAGGCGGAGTCATGAAGCGGGAGTGAGAAATGGGGGTCATGAAGGGAAGTGTAAGGGATAAGGGGGTCATGAAGAGGGAGTGTGAGGGATAAGAAGGGAGGAGAAATGAGGGGAGGGGGGGGAGGGAGGAGGGATAAGGGGGGGTGTGTGAGGGATAAGGGGGAGTCATGAAGAGGGAGTGTGACTGGGTGGTAAGACATGCCGTAAAAACGTGACGACGGTGATGGTATACTGTTTACATCTTGCGCCAGCGTCCATCACTGACTGTCCGTGTGTAATGGTGGCGGCCCTGGCGTGTGGCGTGAAGGAGTGACATCTGACCATACCTACGCCTGCCTTATGCCATCAATCTGTCAGTATCCACATGTGTGTCGACGTGATGGGGGATGATTGATCCTTGATTCCTTCCTTTCTCGTCAATGCCTCAACGCCCTCTCCATACATGACACACCACTACCAATCTATTGTACAAGCTAGTTTAACTTGTATGTAATCAACTTAAACTGACTTAAGCTACGTCAAACCTGCCCAAACGTTTATGAGACGCTTTGTAGAGACGTCATGGTGGGCGGTGGCCAGTCAGTACATCACTTCCATACACATCAGAACTGATAGCCTGACGTCACATATCCAGTTCTCTTCTCTTCCTTATCTCCTCCTCTATAGCTGCCTGTCTGAGATTTGTCGTCGAGAAGATAACTAGTGATGTGATGTAGAAGACTTCAAAGCCTGTAAATATATTCCAGCAGTCAGTAGAACATTTACAAACCGTAGCTTAATCAACTACCAAATTCAGTCATGTCCCCTATTTTGGGATGTGGCGTTAGTCATACGAAGATTAAATTCAGATGGTCACGGCTGAGTATTATTTGAGCTCTTTTTGTGATTACGTGTGGGGGTATTTTAAAGCACTCATGCAACATCTGTGGTCAGCCCTGTCGGTCCCGTATCAGCCTCTCTTAGCAGCCATTTCTTCGACCACTCATAGAGATCTTTCTGTAGCTCACTATGTTTGGTTTTTCCGAATAACTTGGCATCGTCCGCAAACATTTGTATGGAGGAGTATATAGCTTCCGGCATGTCATTTATGAAACAAACAAACAACAACGGACCCAGTACACTGCCCTTTGCGCTTGCCACAGGTACACATGACGATTTCATGCCATTAATCACCACACACTGCTTGCGATCAAGGAGATAGTCTCCGATCCATAGTAGTTCACCTCTCCGAATCCCGTACCCTTCCAGTTTAATTCTCAGCCTTTCGTGGGGTACGCTGTCGAAAGCCTCGGCAAAATTTAAGTATATATTGGCGATTTTGCCATCCTGTTCCAGAATTTGAGTCCAAACATCCAGTACCTTGAGTAATTGTGTTAAGGAGGAGCATCCCGGCATAAAACCGTGTTGGCAGTCCTTTACAAGGTTGTTTCGTAGTGGATGTTCCATCATGGCATCTCTTAAACTGTAATACTCTCTAGTACTTTATACACAATGCTGGTCAGACTCACTGTTCTATAATTATTCGTGGAGTGACAATCGCCCTTCTTAAAAATAGGACTCACATAAGCCGTTTTCCAGTCACTGGGAACCTTTTGCTCATCCAGGTATTTACAGAACAGGATCTTCAGAGGTTCGACAAGCTCGGTGCACAACTCTCTTAGCACTCTAGGATGAACCATGTCAGGGTCGAGACTATTATGAACCTTTGTCTTTGACAATTTATTTCTTTTACCCTCTTCTGAGAACACAATGTGGGTCAGTTCTGTGTCACACCGTCTATCCTCAAACGCAGGAAGATTGTTTGCATCCTCTCTTGTGAACACAATACAAATTACAGCTGTATAGAGATTGCGTAGATGCGAGAGTTTAATGTATTAATTCTTTGTAACATCCTATTATGTTCAAATTCAATTGCACACCCAAAAGGCTCTCAAAAATTTTACTACTACTACTACTACTACTACAACGTAAAACCTACCAGTAGGGTCACCCCTTTGCACCAATTAGTCTGCTAATGAGAATTCAAACTATACACACACACACACACACACACACACACACACACACACACACACACACACACACACACAGTATGCCCTCAAGCCTAACTGGTAGTTTATTTTCCACAGCCGTGCAGGGGAGCGGCTGTGTGGTGGCCCGGACGGTGGGTGTGGTGTTGGAGAAAGAGGAGGGCAGCTTCGGATTCACGGTAAGGGGCGGGTCCTCCCACGATGCCACCAAGTCCAGGCCTCTTATCATTACCCATGTCAGGCCAGGAGGCCCTGCTGACAGGTCAGTTTATTGAATATAATCGGGTTTTTTTTCTATGAGGATTCCACACACTCTATCAATATAATACTAACTTTACTAAAACAAAAAAGGTTAAATATTTGACCATCACTGATTCACTACAATTTATTGAATGAAATCCATTCAATAAATTGTAGTGAATCGGTGATGGTACAATTATAACCTTTTATGTTAAGTAAAGTTAGTATTATATTGATCGGGTGTGTGGAATCCTCATAGAAAAAAGCTAGTATATAACGTATCATAACACCAGTGCACCTCTCTCTTCTGAACATAATAGTAATCCATCATATATATTTTTATTAATAAATGCCATGTTTTTCACTGTGAGAAAATAATTTGTCAGTATTAAAAAATATTAACATACTGTACCTATTCTTTGCTTGTAATTATAGTCTTTTTTCAAGCCAGTGTAATTAATGTATATTTACTATACTGTGTGGTGGCAGAGAGGGAACAATCAAAGCAGGGGACCGGCTCGTCGCGGTGGATGGGCGTGACCTGACCCGCTGTTCTCTGACGGAGGCCCAGGAAGCACTGCGTAGAGTTGAGCGTAGTGCTACACTTACTGTAGAGTAAGTAGCAAAGATATGTCTTGTCGCATTACTCTTATTTTACTGTAGTCGTATTTCCTTACAATATTTTCCTTGGTACGTTGGCTTCTTGATGTCGCTTTGTTTTCGCATCTGTGGTCAACAATAAGTTAAGGTTCTCTTCATGAACACCCTCTCAGTCCCTCTGGGTTTTAGATTTAGAACATAGTAAGTATGAAGCTAATGTAACACTTTCAAAATGGAAACATGTACTGTATAAAACTTGATGAAATTACTTAGTGTACTAAGGATAATTAATTAGGTAAAGTAGTGAAGACAATTAAATATTTGATTTTTTTTTCTAAATGTTGTTTCCTCTACTGTGAGAATGAAGAGGCATCCCATAACATTTATCGTATGTTGGCTCCCAAATACAAACTATAAGGTTAACTCTAGGCAACTCGATATACTTAATTTTCAGTTACAAGTTTTTGTGTGTTATAAAACATCTTGTAACATCATACAGTACAGGGGCGGATCTAGGAATATCAAAAGGGGGTTGCAAGAAGTTTTGGGTGGGGCAACATGCAGTACTGCATTAAAGAAAAAGTATTGGAATTTTCTTATGAAAAGGGGGGATCTGAACCCCCAAGTCCCCACCTGGATCCACCCTTACAATACATGGCATCCATTACCAATAGCTTCAGTGTTTCTTTATAATATTGATGTTGCAGCCACAAAACTCCTCATAACAGATACGACGTATCCGTGATGGACGGTGTTCGGGCAACAGGTGGACCGCTACTGGTGGAGATTGAACGTGCTGTAGGTACTTCCCTGGGTATTACGCTCACCCACGCCCACCCAGAACCCACCGCCATCGTAATTGAAACCATCCGTACTGCCAGTATTGCTGAGAGGTGTGTGTCTGGTCTTGTTACTCAATTACCTATCCAGTTTATTACTACCAACACGGCTCCACTTTAAATTCCTCCTTTATTGTGTGACATACTGAAGGTTGTTGGGATATTGTAAACATTATATCTGGGATTTAATGAATGGTTGGGTGTTATATCAGATTGGTAAAGCTTCAGAAGAATCAGTTTACTGATTGCTGTATATACCTGATTTCAGTCCATGTTTGCCACAACTTGCCCATAGTCACACGACGATGGCTTAGGTTATCCGCCTTTGACATAACTCCAAAGTAAATGGTCTAATGGAATGATATCGGGCAAATACAGAGGCCTTTGAATTCCATGTCAACAATATACATTACTGTAATTTAATTTATGTAGCAGAAACTGAATGAGATTTGGACACTAAAATTAACGAACAACAATAAATCATGTAATGAATATAATGCTATACTCTATTTAGTCATGTAGGCAAAAAATCTTTCAGTTGATTGGTGGGGGGGGGATTGTAGAATCAGTTTTCAATCTAAAATATAAAAATATAAATCTGAAGGAACACCCATACACTCATTGATGCCAGTGCTGATCTTGAGGTTACTACCTGACTGTGACCTGTTCTAATACATCACTACACGTGTCAGGTCACCACAGTACCATGATTTGGGCATTCTCATATTACAGTACAGTACAGATAGCCACTTCACTTCAAGAATTTCTCCCGTAGTCTTGACTTTCAAAATATTATTTTACTATGATTGTTGTAATAAGCAAGAGAGGCAGCCATAGAATATCCAATGCTGTATATTTTTTTCTATGCTGTGCGGGTAATCCTATAAAATTGAACCTAGAAATGCTAGGCAACCAGAAATTGAGTTAGGGATTACAGAGACAGAATTATTCTGAAGTTGCTTTATTCTTCCTAATTATTTAGATGATTATATGCCAGTAAATGTATCCTACAAATTTGTCAATAAACACATTTGCAGATGTGGTGCACTTGCCGTAAATGACATAGTAGCAGCTATAGATGGTACACGACTCGACCAGTTGACAGTAGCTGAAGCTGCCCAGTTGCTGAAGACTGCACCAGGTTCACATGTTACTCTTGAGATCATACCTGGAGCTGCAACGCAGGCCAGGATGACTTTTCGAAGAGGTGAGATTTTGTAAAATTAAATCGGAAGTGTTAACTGTATTTTTTTCTCTAAACAGAGTGTAAGTACTGTATCATTGAGAGATATGTGAATTATGCTAATTCAGAGAGAAACTTTATATATGCAACTATTCCATCGCAAAACCTCTTGACCATGCACAAACTAAGAATTTGTATGTCTTGGGGAGAACCAGCATCCCATTTTGACAAGTGAAGTACGAGAAGCACACCAACCATCATGCCTCACATACACATGCAGTACTTGTGTCGTGGTACAGAACTTGTGATTTGACTGTTTTTCAGATTATTGATCTAATTACACTCTTGTTTTATTCAGGTGGTGGTGTAGCTTTCCCACATCTGTATGGTGTAGTGGGTAGCAGCAGTGGGTATGGCAGTGGAGTTGGTGGATACATGTCAGGGGGTTCCAGCTATAACACCCTTACCTCACAGCGGCCGCGTTCAGCTGCTGCTAGAAGAGTTAATAGACGAACCAGACCTAATGATCGAACTGAAACAGGTAATGTTTGTTACCTGTTTTCCATCTTAAGCATGATGTTATCCTTTGAAGTTATCATTTATAAAATTGCTCACCTTGTACTTATATGATATCCTTGTTTTGTACACAGTATTGTCATTGGGTTTTAGTTTTGCCATGTAATGAAAGGTAGAATATAACATTACTCACCACTTCTCGTGCTCCCTCAGGATCTGTCTCGTCACACACCACAGGAGGAGGAAGTGTGGGGAGGGTTGGTGTATGTCACCCAGAATGTCTCACAGTAACGCTGGTGGTAGAAGGGCGGGGCTATGGACTGGTGCTTCGCCCTCCCCCACATCCAGCAGATCCTGACACAGCCCTGCCTGTTATTGCTGCCATAGACCCAGGAGGTCCTGCTGACAAGTAAGTCCAGGCTTAATTTCTAACCAGTATATTATTGACTACAGTATATAAGTGAAATTAAGTTGTATTTATGATGCTCTCATTAAGTATTTTAATTATTTTTGTTACTTCACAAATATTTTAAGAAAATCTAAAGATCAACAAATATTTGAAACGGTAATCTGTTGCATGGTGAAGGGCGGTACACCCTATTGATAATAAAGCATTACATATTTTACTCTCTAATTATAGTGCAGTACTTTTATCTGGCTATCTCATCAGTGATTCTAAGTCATTAATACATGTTTCTTGTATGCAGGTGCAGTGTAGTGTGTGTGGGTGACCGTCTGATGGGAGTGAATGGCCGTAGTGTATCAGGTCTTGGCGTCAGTGAGGTCACCCAGATGGTAGCCAACTCACGCCCCACGGTCACCCTCGATGTTGAGTTTGACGTTGCTGATTCTGTTGTACCCTCGTCTGGTACCTTTGCTGTCAAGTTGGCAAAGAGACACAATGGACTTGGAATCACACTGACTGGTAATTATATTAATCCTCCTTCTGATTATTTAGAAAATATATAATACTGTACTGTATAATGTTTGTCAGTGTTGGTAGATGATAATGCCTGTGTCTTCGCATTTGAAGGGCTTATATTATGCATGATTGATCCTTTATGATGACAGTGTTCTCTTTACTGATAGAGGGCTGTGTATCAATATTTCAGTATATCTACATGAGTTGTGTGGCAGAGATTTAGCGAGGTAAATAGGTATTCAACAGCAGAGTAACTAAAAAGTCTTCAGTGTTCAAGGAATCATGGCACTACATTTAAAAGAAGGAAATGGAGAGTAAGTCAGTGAGGAGCATAGACAGATTAGGGAAGGTACACATGGTTGCTTGCCCTCAGAAGAGCAATATAGCAAATTTAGTAACTTATTCAAGCTAGACTTACATCGTACAACATAGATGAGAAAAATTTTTAAATATTTTTTGTGAATCTCCTACTTTTAAGAGTTGTGAATACAGTAATAGGTTAATGTAGTGTAATGATTTTGTTTTCTATCAAGGATTGTTTATATTAATTGTTTTAAAAACATACATGTACAGCCGAGCATTATATATAAGGATGGTAACTTTTCTTTTGTTTTTACTAACACTGGAAACTGTTTTTCAATCCCTCCAGCTGGACGTCGAGCGGGTGCTGGTGAACCTTTGCTGATCAGCGAAGTCGTGCGTGGTTCACCTGCCCATCGGTCAGGAACTATGCAGCCAGGGGACAGACTCTTGGCTATTGATGACACACGCTTAGAAAATCTCACCTTGGAGGATGCCAGAACCATTCTTCAATGCTGTGATGAAATTGTCACACTCAGGGTGCAAAAGGACGAATTATATTCAGGTAATATTTGTTTCACTCAGAATGAATTCATTTTAGCTTATTATACCTTAGTTCTTTCTTTCTTTAAGAAAAGGTGATTAGAATTTTCTGCTTACTTTTGAGTGAGTAATACAGCACATGAAACCATACATTCAGTCAAATTTGATTTACCATTTAATGATTACAATGTCCAAAATATGTTTAACTTCTTTATACAGAGGAGAGTGGAGGGCTAGTGATGTACACAGTGGAGTTAGTCCGCCACGGAGGGGCGCTTGGGATCACTATTTCGGGTAGTGAGGAGCCCTTTGATCCCATTTACATCGCTGGTCTTGCTCCAGGTACAATATTGATTATGGAATTAATACACTCATTATTCTTTGTTTAATAATATAGTGCTAAAACCATTATTATATACTACTGTATATTTGTTTAGCTATTACTGTATATTTATTTGAGGACTCTTGAAGACAGCCTAATTGTTCACCTGATGATATGATTACGTACTGATGAACTGTATAACTAAGACTGATACTTTAAAGCATAGATTTTTTTCTTGCAATGATATACAGTACAGTATGATGTATATAAACAAAATATTACTCTGCACTGTCAATAAAAGTGAGTGTTTCCTTTAAAACAAACAGGTGGGTTAGCAGACCGCACTGGGGCCATCCATATTGGGGATCGTCTCTTGGCTATCAATGGTGCGTCCTTAAGAGGAAAGCCACTAAGTGAGGCCATTCTCATGCTTCAGAATTCTGGGGACACTGTCACTCTGAAAATCTCCCGGCCAAGAGACTCAGGTAACAACATTATTTGTTATGTTAAGACACTAGTACAGTATAGTAGGGTAGCTCAAAATGGGGATGCTATGGGTTTGGTGCCCTGCATGTGTGATGTACTGTATGTGTGATGGACGAATATTTACCTTAAAATGTAATAATCAGTGTCTTGCCAAACTCTTAATTCAGTTTTTTTTTTTTTTTGCATTTCTTATATTCAGGAGTTCCCAGCGAGGAGCTGCCCCGTGATGATTGGTTGGGAAGATTTGGCCCAGCTATACCATCTGTAGACTCAGCAGTAGAGTCATGGGATAGTTCAGGGCTGGACCCCCCTCCCCCAGGCTCAACTCCAGCACTGTCCAAGAGAGATTCTGGTTCAGACATTGTCTTTAGATCAGGTACGTATCTTTTCAATGAATACTGTATTTGTTCTCAGGTCACGTATGTCTATGTTTAGCTGTGTGAAAAAGAAGAAATTAGATGTCTCCCACCTATCTATCTACAGTATTTCTAAAGAAATTTCCTTTTGCAGTTAATAGGTTTGATATGGATCATAGCAATACTTTACTACTTTATCCTCTTCACAATATACTGAATGAAGACCTGAGGACCAGTTGACTGAAGAAATGCTGGTACAAACATTTGTTTAGAGATTTACTGAGGATATATAACATAAAGACTGGAAATGGGTACTGAACTGTATCTATACCATTAGTGTGTGTGTTCCTTATGCATTTCTACAGTTTTGAAGACAGATACAGTACCTGAAATTGGGTAGGAAGGTGTGAGTGGCCAAGGCAAAGCCGAGTAACCCACCTACTACAGTAGTACCTGTATATGATAGATAGATATTATTGGTTGATGAGATGCAAGTGTGTGTAAAAATGTAGAGTAACAAAAAAATTTCTCCTCAGCAGTGATCATACAATGAAGTGATAGAAATTTATAGAGCCATTTCTTTTTCCTTTATGTGCTAAGTAAATAATTATTAACACTGTGTTCATTGAGACAGATGTTGGGCATGATTTGTCTTTACCCTCAGACTGTGGCAGTACTGTAAGACGGAGAGGAGGATTAGAGTGTAGAGAAGAAACTAATGGTGCTGGGGATGCTGATGGTGTCGAGGGAACCAGGAAAGTCCCTGAAGAGGATGTAAGGGACACGTGGGGGTCCCCCTCCCCTCCACCATCTATAGACAGTGGGCAGTCAGGTTAGTTTACTCCTCCAATATACAGTACTTCATTGTATAAGTTGATGTTGGTAAGGCTTCAATTTGTGGTCATACGTCCCTCATGGACAGGAATTTACAGGTATTATGTGAGGATAATAGCATTGGCTGTTATTCATAAATGGTACAGTACCTGTAATAGCAACTAGCAAAATTTATATACTACCCTGTATATAGAACTGTACTGTGCTACATTAAGAAATTCCCCAAATTAGGACGCCTGACATGTGTAAGTTGAGCTTGAGTTAGTCATTACTTCAGCTTAATTATTTTTTTTTACAGTGAATTTTGCTTCACTTTGCACTTTTTACTGAAGCTTTTGTGTAATATACCGTGATCGCTTTATGTATGCTTATGTCTTGCTTCTTAGAAGAGTCAGTGTCTCTTACGTTAGTTTGTTGTAGTCATTACATGAATGATTTTATGTTTATAACAGTGCACTCTACTAGATTTGCTTACTGGTTATTCACCTTCATGTGCTTGCTCATAGTATCCTAAATGAATTATATCTGATGATTTCTTTGGCTTCCAGTTTAAAACTGCATGTCAAACTATAAAAAAAGAGTATTGCATTGAACAAAATCTATGAAAGAGTTCAGTATTCATTACTTGAAGTTTTCAGGTTGTAAATGAGTATTATCAAAGATTTTGTCAATATAATACTTTTAGTTTCCACCCTGTTTTCTGTTGTATTTACCGGATAAGCAACCCTTTGCTAGGGGACTCGAGAGTAGTGATTTTGTGGCCTAAGGCATGTTGTTTGTGGACCACCAGAGGATAAAACGGACTGGGACAAGATGATTGCAGACCTCAACCAGATAAGCGAGAGCTGTGGTCTCCGGGATCGTCCCCAGTCACCCCCAGTCCTTCTGCCTCACGGACATGCAGGTGCGCCAAAGACATGCTCTCATTGTTCACAGAAATATAAGATGTATTTGATGTAATTACCAGTAGACACATAAAGTGTTATTGGCAGTGACTGTGGCACCTTATAAATGTCTTGTAATAATCACACAAACAGGTGCTGTACCATAGGTCATGGTGAATTAACATGTAGAGAAAGTTGTATCCATTGGACAGGTAATCTTATAAAGCTCTGCCCATGGACAGGTAACTTTACAAAGTAGTTTCCATGGACAATAGAGATTGTAATAAGATAAGACCACGAGAATGGGAAGCAGTCTTATCAAGCAATTCCTTTGCATGTAGGAACTCAATTACCACTGAAACACATTTTTCTTTCTGTGTTTTGTTACGTACAAGCACATAGCGCTGAGCAAGTAGGAATAGTTGCCAAGTGTTGTGTTGTCAGTAGATTACTCATCCATTGTCTACTAAATAATTCACACATACATTAACACTCATGCTTTCTTGTACTAGGTGTCATATATAAAACTGCTGAATTAATGCTTTTTTAAACAATATAAGCAGTAAGTGTCCTTCAGCCTATGTAGTTTTCCCTTTAGGTACAGCTATGCAGCGTAAGAAGGAAGGGCAGATAGGTGGTAGCGAGGTCCCTGTCACTAGTAGTGGAGGAACTGATGCTGCTCGTTGCCAGACTTTATCTGCACGGAGGCGTCCAGCAGGCGGTGGTACCAGTATGGGTGTTGATGGAGGAGATGCCAAGGAGGAGGGTAGCTATTCCATCAGTAATGCTGCCCTCACATACACTGCCACATATGCCAGGACAGCCTCACCTCCACGTAAGTTCTTTTGGCTTTCCATAAAGAATTTTCATTTTTTTTATCTCTATCCCTACATAATCACACGATACAGTCTCAGAGCCTCAATTTGTGTGATTGGAATGTAAAAATTAGATTATTCTTTACCTTCATACAACGACTCCTGAAGGATATCCTTTACCATGAATGAACTGTACCTTGAAAAGAGAAAAGACCAAGTTTATGCTGCTGAGCATAAGCATACAGTAGATGGAGTATCTGCTTTTGTTGTTAAATCTTTCATAAGATGATATTAGAGGAATAATGACATCTGATCCAGTCACCCAGCCACAAAGAGTGGAACTGTCTGAGCACCTGCTCTGAAATTAGACAATTAAATGTTTTTAATGATATTTGATATATATATATATATATATATATATATATATATATATATATATATATATATATATATCATGTAGCTCCACAAAGAAAACGTGCATAAGATAAATCTTGATAAAATCACACGTGGAAAAGGGGAAACAACGGAGCACCATAACTTTCGTCTTTATTCAAGACATCTTCAGAGGTTGCTTCTGAACCTCTGAAGATGTCTTGAATAAAGACGAAAGTTATGGTGCTCCGTTGTTTCCCCTTTTCCACGTGTGATTTTATCAAGATACTGTATATATATATATATATATATATATATATATATATATATATATATATATATATATATATATATATATATATATATATATATATATATATATATATATATATATATGTATATATATATATATATATATATATGTATATATATATATATATATATGTATATATATGTATATGTATATATACATGCAAGTAAATCACTGTAGGTGCGTGATCTAGGTATATGCTGATAACCACACTGTATATATATATATATATATATATATATATATATATATATATATATATATATATATATATATATATATACATACATAATCAGAATTGGGTCGTTAAGCAGAAAGAATTACCTAGTCAATAAATTCCACAATGACTCAAACTATTTCCTGTAAGTCTAATTTTCCTTTATGTATCACAATGGATTTTCCTACTGTGAATTGCTCTTAGACCCATTAATCTGTTAAGGCACTCCACAGGAGAGATCTTAGCTATTTATAATTGTCCCCATTTAGGTTAAATGAATGTTATGCTGACATACAGTATTCTTGAAACATGATCTTCCTTGTGAGATGTGTTTTCTATGATAGGAATTGAATATAATGTAATTTAGTCATATTTATTAAACAAGATTAGTGATTCTGAATTCAGGGACTTGGACAAACAGGCTGTGTTCACTTTGGGTGCAACCAAGTTAGGTGTAGGAGGTTCGCACCACCATGTCATGGGAAGTGATGTTTCACAGTTGATGGATTCATTGTGTTGTTCCTTGCTCCTGGAGATTAATGTTTTATAACTTTTAAGATGAATTGAAACAACAGGATTTTCAGGTTTTTGATCACAATTGATAGTGAAGGTAAATGGGCAGACAATGTTACATCATTATACAGCATAACAAAGGCTGAGTGGGTATAACAAAGCCACTTAGAAAGGTGTGGCCTTGTAGGTATTTAGGTAGTTAATAAAAAGCAGTACAGTCTCATATATGCCCTTTCTTGGTGTACTACCAGGTTCTCCACACTGTAGTAGCATCCCTCTTACACACACACACACACACACACACACACATTTATTTAGTTGGGCACCTTTGGTCAGATCCTCCCTCATAACCCCTCCTATGAACCTCATCCAAGTACTGTACAGTAATATCTACCATCAAGCCAGTTTTTATGTTCTCATGATTCTTGTAGTACTCTTAGCTCATACTGGTGGTTATATCTTTACAAGATCACTGAGTAAAATATGTTTGTAACTATACAGCTGGTGGTGGCCAGGTGTACCAGGTGACTCTCCTGAAGGACCGCGTGTATGAAGACTTTGGATTCAGTGTGTCTGATGGCCTTTACGAGAAGGGAGTTTACGTCAACAGAATTCGAAAGGGTGGACCAGCTGACAGATCTGGAGTACTTAAACCATTTGACAGAATTCTTCAGGTATGTTTTATTTTTCCTTCTCTAGCATATTGTATATAACAGTACAGGGCGTATTTGATTATTGTTAATGACTGCAAATGTATGTATTAAATGTTGCATTGTGTTATTATTGAAAAATATAGTACCTGTAAACACCACAGGGTTTATTATTAATTACGAACAATAATCAAGGATTTTTTCAATATCTAGTAATGTCTTCATCCTTGGAAAGCAACACCTTATTTTTATTATTTTTTTTTTTGTCTTTGCCCTCAGGTAAATGATACCAGAACACACGACTTTGACTGCTGCTTGACTGTCCCCCTCATGGCCGCTGCTGGGGACCGCCTGGTGCTGGTGGTGTCCAGAAACCCTCATGTCAACCCAACACTAGACTTCTCCTCAGACATACACTCACCAGCATGGAATGATATTGATGAAGGAGAGGAGGACGAGGCAGTGGGAGAAAAAGAACTCGGAGATAGGGACCTAGAACCATACTCCTCTCCTACTCCATCCTTTACACCAATACCCACCATCCTGAAGACACTCTGAATATAAATTAGCCCAGATTTTTTTTTTTTTTTTTTTTTTATTTGGCTTCTACAACATTGTTAAGGCCCAAAACTATTTTCATACAACAAAGCTCTCACTGAAGCTATGTTGTTTAGATCTGTTGTGCTGGGATTTGTTTTTGCAACAGAGGATGTACCACATACATGATAAAAGAGACTCGGTTGATGTGGTATTACAAGTTGGAAGTCAAATGAAAGTTCAAAAGTATTTCAAAAGACAAGAAATATTATAAAATTAGCTAATATTTCTTTTGAAGTTATTTGTTCCCTCAACCAACTTAGTTTCTCTTTATCCTGAAAAGATTGATAGAGTAGCAATGAACGAGGTTACTTTTGTCACAAGATTCAAGGGGGCCCTATTATGATTAATAATTAACAGCAAGATTAATACTGTGTGATGTGGAGCAACTTCAGAGACAGGTTAAGCTCATAATTCTCCCTAATAGTCTTGTTAGGGTTGCCATTAATCTAGCAATGAGTTCATCCTCAATGCCAGGCAGGGATGAAGAGAACTTACTGTTTGTGCTATAGTGTGCACGGTCACTGTCACTTTTGTACGGGGTTCACCGTGCAGAATAAAATCATATGTTGGCCAAATGAAATATTAAAAGTGGCGTCACCTCATGAAGGGGTTGAGGCCCTACACCTCTTACCCAAATAAGTGAGACACTGTAAAGGATGCTAACACACCTCCTCAAGCTGTTGAGAAACTTCAACAGAAGTTGAGTGCCTTATATTATGTACTGTATTGTATATTTATAAATATTTTTTTTCATATTACTATTACTGTACTGTACTAAATCACAGAAGATGTATATATTGTATATGGTAATTTTTAATACTTAATTTGTAAGGATTTGGGAATTATTGTTAGCATCATGTGGTGTTGGTACTGGTGCACTAGGAAGTAGATAAATTTATTACTTCTTTTAACAGGTTGTAATGTATTCGAGAACTATATTTTTCTTCATATCACATCTTTTAGTGTATGTGAATTTGATTAATCATAATTCTTCACCACAACATGATATTTTATACGTGCATATACATACAGTAGTAGTAATTAAGACAAGTACAGTAGTTACATTCTCAATCACATACAATACTAATTTATTGTTCCATGCCTTCTTGATACTTTCTATCATTAATCCTTACATGATTTTATAAACTTATACTATATACTATGTATTTTTTTATAAAGATAAGAACACCTTATACCCATATAACTGTATTTGAAAGATCATTACAATACCTGTAGTCCTCCATAACTGCAGTCCTTTCACCACTGTTAAACAACACAACACTGATGACTGCCTCAAGTATCACTCTCACTCATATTATGTTTTAATGGCAGTGTACAGTAAATATAAAGACACATTAAATTTGCAAAATGACTTGCAATACAAGCAGTATCATATGCCAACACTTTTTCTTAATTTGATAAGTTTGAAATGGAATACAGTCTACTACATTTTACAGTAATAATTTCTTATATACTGTGTACTGGAGTACTGTACTGTACTTATTGAGGCAAGGACAAATGTAAGTGTAGAAATCTCTCATATACTGTATGTCATAACTTGTCACCAGTCACGCTTTCTATTAAGATTTTTTTGATTGAGAGAGCTGCCTCTTGTTTGACACTTGCTCTTATTGAAGACTTTTATATGATATACAAATACATGAATTTGGTGTATGATAATATTTTGCTACTAACTGATGCCTAAATGGTATTATGGGTTATTTTTTTTTTTACCCTAGTCATGTAAATTTTGTAGACAAATATTTTATCCATAAAAAAAATTGCATGTTAGAAAAGTACCTCAGGTAAGGTCCTGTTCTTCCCCATATCAGTGCCCATGATGTAAGCATTTTTTCTGTGAAGTGGTTTGTATAACTAAGTTAACAAATTATGTATTTTTATAACAAAAGGTACAAAAATAAAGTACAACATATAAAACAGTCTGGATTTTTATGCATTGTTAATGTACAAGGAACAGCATAAGTTCACTCCAACTCTACGTGTATATGAGCCAGGTGATCTGGTAACAGGACGGGGAAGAGTTGACATGTGCTTTAAATGACTAATTATTTAAGATATACTGATCAGAGATTACCTAAGAATATTTTTTTTATTCGTAATATATCTTAACTAGTGTCAATGTGTAAAATGTGGGAAAATAATGTTAACAAATATGTGACATTGCTGCAGGATGATTCATGACTGGGGATCCGATCCGGTCAAAAGATTATTCATGCTGTTGCCAGCAATTATTTTTCATGCTTAATGACACATTCATTATAAAGCATTTTCAGCAACAAATCTGAAGCTGCAAGTAAGCATTAAATACTGTCACTTTTATGTAAAATGAAAGCATATGTTGACACCCTGGTGTTTCTTGATTATCAGGTTTGTCTCTGTTAAACTCAATTCCTTCCCTCCTGCCTTCATTCACCTTTGCTTTACCTGAGATTTGAAAAAAAAAATGCAAATTTTCTTAATCAGTAATCGCATTCAAAACATTACAATTTTGATATTTATGAAGATATTTTAATGATCTGAATTACCATTTAGGGAAGGTTAGGTTTGGTGATGTTTGGTTAGGAAGTACTGTAATGACGGTAATATAGTTTTGGTCATCAGCTTAAAAAGTAGAGATTTGCTGTAGAAATAAAGGTCATACTTGTTCAAAACACATCAAAGACCACAGGAAAAACATAATTTCAACTTCCAAATAGGTGGATGACCGAAACGATACTTTACCATAATGACTAGCTCAGTTAGGTTAGGTCAGAATGCTTAAAAACAAGTTGTAAATATTTACCCAAGGTTGCAGTCAAAACTTGAACTTTTTAAATATATGTTATCTCACAGTATTAAACCATACCAACCTTTATTGTTGAGAAGACTCCTTAGCTTTTTAGCTAGGCCAAGCGCCCCCCCCCACCTTTCAAGGAGAACAATAAGATTATGAAACAGGAAAGTGAAGCCTATTAAATTGAAATTAATGGACAATCAACTCAATATTTACAGTACTGTATTAAAAATCCCCAGTGAGATCATCTAGCATTTCTATTATTTACAGACAAATCCTGATTTACAAATTTACAGTTTAAGAATAGACGACAGCCATTAACGCTGGGCCGCCGCTTTCTTCTTGCAGGAGGTATCAGCTTTGATCTGAGACTGAGGGCTGTTCTGCCAGTCATTTAAAGCAGCACGTTTATCATCGACGAGTACATTGATTGCCTGGCCATTTTCATCAAACTAGTCATGGTGTATTCTTTCGATCTGGATGAGGGTCTCTTTGCAGGTTTTTGTCATGACAGTGTTGAGAATACCCCCATTCGGTACTGGGATTTGGGTTGTTTGTTGTAGGGTTGTTTATCAGCCCATATTCGAGCAGCTCTCTAAAAGCATATGCTACACACACACACACACACACACGGCTATCACCCAGGAAGTTGCTGCGGCCAGGGGTTGTAATTCTGGAGAGGGTGAAGGTGGTGCATGATGGCGAGGGAGGAACCCATGTGTCATTATTCTCGCGTGACCTGTGACGACCAGATCATGCCCATTACCCGGGGCCTTGAGGGAATTTACTGAGGTCAATTATTTATTTCTTAAGAATAAGTGAATTGTGTTAGTTACAGACCATGTCAAACACTGCGCCATGTTTTGTAGCCGAACTTATAACTTGTATATCGTAAATGAAGATTCATCTGTACTGTATTCATACTACTAAACGTCTTATAAAAGTACTTCAGGTTCAACGTCATATCACTGCACTTAGAACATAAGAAAATAAGGAGTCTGCAATAGGCTGGTTGGCCTGTGCATGGCAGCTCCTGTCCTTTTAAAACTTTCCAGCGTTCCAGCACTAACTACAAAGTTGCAAAGCTTGTTCCACTCGTCTACCACCCTATTTGTGAACCGGTTGACCTGAACCTTGTTTGAACTAAGAAATTTTATGATAAGAATAGATTGTCATTTCTGAGTAGTCTCGGAAATATTATTAGCCCTATGTGAAATGAAAGTAACGCTGCTCTCTCAGTGTGGCCGGAGCCTTATACAGTAGTCTCCACTAGTCGTGGACCACGACCGTCTGTGGGAATCTTTAAACAAACACTGAATTTTGAGAAAAACAAATGGTGACTGAGCAGATCAACACTGGACCCCGCCCACCACCATTGTGTTGTGTCGCCGGCGTGGCGGCCACACGTACCCAGGTCAACTCAGGTCATTCCCCTGACCTCCAACAATAGTGGACAATTATGGCGAAACAATCAATATTGAGTTGAAGGTCAAAGCCTTAATGGTGTTAAGTTTACCGCTCGCGGTGATTTAGCAAGGCGCAGTCCTTTAATTATTTGTTGTATTTCTCTGGAGAAGTGTGGCGACTCCCTCTTGGCGGCCGCGGAGCAGACGTTTGCTTGATAGTAATGCTAATATATTAATCGATTTATATGCCATTATAAGAACAAATATACGGTTGAGAATTTATATCTGACAAATAGAGTGTATTTTCGTAAGCATGAAAATTTCAATTTTATAAACTTAGCCTAAGGTATTAATTCAAACTTTTTGGTGGCAAGACATTCTATACGGTATCACTCCACTAATGACAAATGGGAATCAGATAAGACAAACTCAGCTTTACGCAGAACTTTGATGTGCGAGTTACCAAGAACATGAACACAAGAATGGAGGAAATTGTAGTGGGCCTATTAGCCCATACTATAATAGGCAGCCCCGTTTACACCCAACCCTTATCGCTCACAGATCTGCCCAGCCTCTATACGTATTTGAAGCTTCCCAGCGTATTCGAGTTAATGATGCCTCCATTTTGCGTATTAGTCTTTCTTGGGGAGCCCTGTCGAAGGCTTTGCTAAAGTCCCGAGGTATACAATAATAATAATAATAATAATAATTAACGGTTTATTGAAAGAGCTTGGCAGCCAGAAGGCTGAAAATATACAGTTACATATTTGGGGAATGGGTTTACATTATATTTGTGTCCGTCATTCACCAATTCGTAACAGTTGAAAAGAATGCTAATAGATTTGTCAGACATAAACGCCCACTCGTGAAGCCATGTTGAGAATCATTGATCAGTTTATGTTTCTCTATGACATTTCGAATTGAGTTTGAAATTATTGCTTCCAGTAATTTGCCTACAATTGATGCGAAACTAATTGTACGGTAGTTAGAGGATAGTGATCGATCTCCTTTCTTGAAAATCGATCACATTCGCTATCCCCCAGGATTCTGGTACTACATCCCTTTTTAATGACATGCTAAACAACTTTGCTATGGACACACACACACATACACACATATATTTCGTCAACAATACTTTGATCCGTGTTATTTGACTAATATCAATTCCGTTAAATATACTCTTCTCTAATTAAAACCCTCCACTGGTTTATGAATGTCAACGTCGGCGCCACCTACAGTATATGCCTTTCTTGTTAAAGTAATGTTTACAGAATGTCTTGAAACTTGCCAGGGACATTGTACGGTATTCCTTAGAGCTCGTAAGTTTTGGATAAAATTTATGACCCATTTAAAATTGTTGATTTGGCAGCCGTTTTTACCTTTTTGTGAAATATACATCAGGAGCGTCAGTACCTAGCGTAGGGATGGCTGTTTTAACATAATTCACTCAGAGTGACTTGAGCGTTCTGGGATACAACCGTGTTGTCAGGGTCTCTGGTCAGTTTTTGGGCTAAAGATAATGATGGACAGCGAGCGTCTTAACCCCTCAGCCAAATATACTATTAAAAGTGGTGTCCCCGTAGTGAAGGAATGAGGCTACTTCCTGTCATCTTATAGATCAGTAAGCTACAGGTGATTTGGGTGCTGTAGGGAAGACAAATGCTGCGAACATAGAATTCAGGGATCATCCACCAATCATCGCCCACAGGCAGTCGCTCTCCATAAACAATAGTAGGTTCTTTGCTTCTCTACTCCACCGTTATTCCCCCGTCTCCCTCCTCCCCGCATTCTTCTCAACAATAACCAAAAGGAAACAATTAAACTGGGTCCATCTGTCTCCTGCTAAATAAAGAGGCCTGCCTATGTGTCCACACACGACACAGGTACCATTCACGGGTCTGGTCACTGCCTTATTAAGCTTGGTTTTGTGGATTTCAACATAAGAACATAAGAAAATAAGGAGTCTGCAATAGGCCGGTAGGCCTGTGCATGGCAGCTCCTGTCGAGAGCTACTACCACTCTCTATCATCCATGAATCTATCTAGCCTCCTTTTGAAACTTTCCAGAGTTCCAGCACTTACTACAAAGTTGCTAAGCTTGTTCCACTCGTCCACCACCCTATTTGTGAACCAGTTTCTTCCTATCTCCCTCCTAAACCTAAACTTATCCAACTTAAATCTGTTGCTCCGAGTCCTATCCTGCTCGGATATTATAAGAACTTTATCTATATCCCCTTTATTGATTCCTTTCACCCACTTAAATACTTCTATCATATCTCCCCGCACTCTTCGTCTTTCTAGGGAATGCAAGTTAAATTTCTTTAACCTATCCTGATATGGAAGGTTTCTAAGTCCCGGAATCATTTTCGTCATTCTTTGCTGCACCGACTCTAGTGAATTGATATCCATTCTATAATAAGGGCACCAGAACTAAACCGCATAATGGAGGTGCGGCCTGACTAGCGCAAGATATAGTTGCAATAAGACCTCTACACTCTTATTACTTACACTTCTAGATATAAAACCCAATACTCTGTTTGCCTTATTTCGAACATTAACGCACTGTTTTCTAGGCCGTAGGTCCGGGCTTACAAGTACCCCTAGGTCTCTTTCACAAGTCGACTTCTCTAGGTTGATGTTAAGGCTGTATACATTGTCAGTATTTGTTCTTCCAATATTAAGTACGCTGCACTTGCTGGTGTTGAATTTCATTTGCCATTTTTCAGACCACCCCTGCAGTTTATTTAGATCCTCCTGTAATGCATTTGCATCCTGCCCTGAATTAATCAACGCGTAGCCCAAGCCTCCCTTACGAACAGTGGACAATAGCGCACATTCTCCTTGACACTGGGACGAGTGGCTGTGAGGTACAAGTGGGAAGGAGTGAGAGGTGTAGCGCCGGGCTATAGTGGGCGTCTTTAGATACATAAACAGATATTTAATCAGAAACAAAAATCGCGATACAAATTCACATTCTTCAACATGTACATAGTTATTGCAGGTATACAAACAATGTACATAAACAGAGGAGGAATACAAACTGTAGATAGATAGTGCAGATATACAATATGCATATACAGCGAAGGTATGCAAACAATGTACTGCACTGTACATACTGTGTAGGTATACAAACTTTACAATTATACATACAGTGAAGTTATACAATGTGCAATTGTTCTTAGTCAACAGTGTTGACTAAGAACACTAAGTGCATAGAGCACTAGCTTCAGTATACAGTACACAGTGCAGTCAAACCTATTTATGAAATTCTGTAAACAGTAAGTTTACGCCGCATCTTGCCCTGGGAGAGAAAATACTCCTTTCACCTGAGAAATATTTTTTGTAACACACCGAGTAGAAATACTTCATCACCAGCTGATGTACGAAATATTTCCTCGTCTGGAAATAAATGAAAAGTCTTGAATAACAGGCAGGACGTTCATTTAGCGCCTGGTGGGCCACTGGTAATTTTACAAGACAGTTGTTGTATAATATCAAACATCTTTAATTTTCCTTCTGAAGACAATCACTGGACATTTTATTTATAAAAGAATTTGCACTAAAACTCCCATTTTATTCTGACAAAGTGTAAAACAAACAAACAGTACATATATAATAAACGATGATTAGATCATGTTCAGACGATCACATCTTAGAAATCAGTGACGTTATCTTAACATTATCTGTGAACCGGGAACACCGCCCACTGCTCCCTAGGGTTGACTGTGAGACTTGTCAGGTCACACCCGGCCAGGGCTTAATGAGCTCCACTTGCGATTTATCCTACCGAGGCCTCGACCACCCCTGTATTCATTCTAAACTTCTCCATGAACTTGATTAATTTAATTCATACATACAGATACAGTCATTCATTGTTCTTAAAAGAAAATGTCGGCACTTCAGTAAGAGTTTTTGAATTTGGTAGGGAGATGCATAGCTAGAAAGCAATATTTACTCGTGGGCAACTGTGGTTGCGGCTCGGCTTAGGCAGGGTCCGGGCGGTCTTGTTCTCTTTAATTAGGCTTCATTGAAATCCCCCCAAGATTTTCCCTAAAGGCTTTAATAGTTTTAGCTCCAGCCACTGCCATTGCCTGTGCTGTGTCGGCTAAATTGGGTGTCAACTTGATATGGATTTTAGAGCGGCCGGATGTAAACTTTGGAATACCTTCGATCTTTATGAAACAATGTACCGTGTGGAAATAATACTTGACGAGAACAAAGATAAAATAATATAATGCATTCTAGTTACACGGTCAAAAATTATAACTGCATCTTGGGATTATTACTGGGGGGGTTTTGAGGACAGCAGCGAGTGTGAGCAGATGAGTGAACGTCAGCTACTGGCTGGAGTGATGGCCGTGTGACGACTGAAGTGGCGAGGTTCACACGATCCTCAAGACACCAGAGAGGGTTGTGTTCTCGTCTCTCGTCTTTACTGTTTACAGACTTCTTGAATCAAAACATATCTTCGATAAGTTATGATGTTGAGACACAAGAAAGTTAACTGTATTCTTCATAATATTATATCGGGTACGTTAAATGTAGAAAGTTAAAATAAATATAATTTTTTGTATATATACAGTATATTGTAAATAGCCTTTTGTGCATTTATTTCTTCCCATGGGTTTAATTATATAATATGCATTTGCTTTTGTCATCAATGCGTTTGTTCATAAACAAAGAATCCAGGAGGGAACAATGTTGACTCAAGCCCCTTGTCACCTGGTTTCATTTTGCATCTTTGTTGACCGCTGGTGCAAAAATCATCATTAATACCGGGTCAGACCTCCCTGACTTTGTTAATTACCTGCGGTCTCTGAGTCTCCCTCAGGACCTTTCTGTTCGACCAATCCTGTTTCAACACGTCACTAGTGGGCGTGTCTGACCACACACACATGGACCGCCATATAAACCTTGGGACCACAACATACAGCATCAGAAAGCATCTGCCGTGTATCGCAGCTACAAGCTACACATTTACCTGTTTGAATTTAATACACAATGAATACTGCTTATCAAGAACATATGGCCGCCGCCATGGCCGCAGCTCTCGCTGCTAAGGGGTCTCTGCCTCCTGATACTGCCGAAATGCGACTCTATCTGGATAAGCTGAAGGACCTGGTGCCACTCTGCCCTAAGAACCGCAGTGTGACGAAGCTGGAGCTGATTCAACACGTCATCGATTACATCAGCGACCTGCAGGACACCTTGCAGTCCGACTCCGAGCCAGAGAGTCCCCCGGAAAGTCCACTGGAACACGCGAGTTTTAGCGACGCCTATACTAATGTCTGCAGTAGCAGGTCCTCCCAGTTGCCGGATTACAGCAAGCAGCAGTCCGGCCAGGGCATGCAAATCAGTGATGGCTTCCCTATGGAGTACAGCAGTGACTACAGTAACAACTTCAATGGGGCTACTGGTTACAGCAGCAGCAGTTTTAACAGCACCTCCGCGCCGGGTTGCAGTGCTGCAGGGAACAGCAAGATCGACAGTTCTTCCAGCTCCAGCGACTTAGGTAGCGTATCTGGGTACAGCGACACCACCAACTACAGTACCATCCTCTACAGCGACCACGGCAACAGCTCTGGACCCAGGCACCGACCATCATGCTAGAGCTAGACGAACCAACCTTTGTTTCTCAAGCTCCCCTGCCCTCCCTGAGTGTCTTCCCAAGCTGCCGAACTTCAAGCTAGATGAGCGACCTTCGTGAGTGTCTGTGTTGCTGGGATCGATAATGATGGACGAAGACACTGGAGGTGTGAGGACTGTCTCTCCTGTGATAATTATGCTGTATATACGTTTATATGTAAATATCTATATTGTTTATTAAATAAAATTCTACCAAGTACTATTGTTTGTACCATTTACCCGGAAAATAATGACAAACAGATACTTTAATGTATTTACTCTAACAATAATTTACGTCCTCTTAGGGACATCTAAAAAAAATAGGTTAACACACATCTTTAACAGCAGCTCTGCCACTACCACATGTTACTACAACCCTCAGAAATAACGGAACAGGTAAACACACAAGCCCCTTGTGTGGTGGCAAGACGGACGGATGTATAAATCAATATTTAGTTTTCCTCCTGAACACTCAACTACTCAAGATAAATAACAGATCAAATTCGATCCATCAGATTACCGAAATGTTGCTGATCAGTATGAGAGTTTCAACGTTTAAAACTTGTAACTAAAGGTATCATCTACATAGCAGGAAATGTTTTTGTATCATGTTGCATCTGTTTACTAACTGGACCTTGAATATGTTTTCGTGGTAGTTAACGAGCAGTCAGATACAACAAGTAGCTTTTGCGTGAACAAACCACTTCACGGTAATACTGTTTACGACAATGAAAATAAGACAACTTCATTTACTGACGATGACCAAAAATTATTTGTTGTAAAAATCGAAAGTCTCCATAAGGTAAATACGTATCTGTATTTAAATTGATCTGTTAAGTATTCCCGTTAGGGCTACGTAACATGGGACAGATGTGACACATGTTCACACGGAGTGGACGAAAACAATAACAGTCTACCACCACTCTCGATGTAAGACAGTACCGCTGTAGTGAGGCCGCCCAAGGAGAAGAGGGAAAAAGAGTGCTTCATAGAATTAAAAGGACAACTGACACACACAATCCCCAGGGAGGTAGGACTAAGCGGGCCGCGTGTTGACCGCCATCATCATCACACCCGCCGCGATGGTCGACCATCGCCGGGTGTAAACAAATCCTAACCACGGGTAGGGGCAGCCTTTTGTTCACATCTCCCCCAGGTTTAAAAGAGCTCCTGCCGCTGCGGTTACTAGGTGTTTGTTGTGTTTTAAAGCTGCCTTATGGAGGGGGGGGGGGGAGTTCCCTTGGTGCTTGTTGCTGTTGAAGTCTGACTTTCAGTGATAAGCTGTACTGTATAAACGGCGTAGAACCGTCCTTCAAGTATAAAATTAAGCATATTTAATAGACCTGTTTCTTGCTGTTGTATCCCGCTGTTGCTGTTATATACTGCATGTGCTGTATGCTGCATTGTCTTTTTATGTTTGTGTATACAGGTACTGTATTTGTTGTATGCTGATGCTGTTATAAGTGATATGCTCATGACTCTGTGTTGCTGTTACTGCTGTATGTTGCATATTTACTTGCTAATTTAGCAATGTGCTGAAATGTGTCTGCTTTAGTTGCTGTTATACGCTAAGTGTCCATGTATACTGTTGTTGCTATTATAATTCATGCTACAGTGTTTATGTTCTGCTGCTTTATGTTATGAGCTGCACTGCAATAACTGCATCTATGCTGTATTGTGTTGGTATGTCGCTACTGTTGTTGTATGCTGCATTGTATTGTGTTGGTATGTCGCTACTGTTGTTGTATGCTGCATTGTGTTGGTATGTCGCTACTCTTGTTGTATGCTGCAGTTGCTGTTGCAGACTGCAATACACTGGTACTGTTGGAGTTGGACCCGAGTTACTTGTGAACAGAATATCAATTAACCTCGAGGTGAAGGATTACCCGCTACTATGATAAGTAATCATTACCGAGCAGGGAAGAGTAGATAAAATCATTAACATTTCGGGTCACCGAAGACTCTCCACCCCAACTTATTTCACGAAAAGATTACAATGAATTGTATGACCCAGCGTCAAGGAATAGTCCGAGAAGACCGGACAACTCGCCAACTGTGGGTGCGCGTGATCCAGGTATATGCTGATAACCACAAGGAAAGAAGAACACACGAAGTTCCCAAGCGCTTTCGTGTAATTCACATCTTCAGGGGTCTATACTCACCCCTGAAGATGTGAATTACACGAAAGTGCTTGGGAACTTCGTGTGTTCTTCTTTCCTTGTGGTTATCAGCATATATATATGTATATATATATATATATATATATATATATATATATATATATATATATATATATATATATATATATATTGCACACGAAACTAAGAATTGAGGCTTTATTAATAAAACATGCCATAAGCCAAGGTGCTAAGGCAAAGTGAAGAAAGAGGTGGACAGTGAAGTGTGGTGACCAGCCGACCAGAGCACCTTGAAACATTCAGAAATATATCCTAAAACAGTGTAGCGAACTGATATATCTTTATTATATCAAACAAAATATACACAGTACTGGAGGCGACCACTCACACATACACGCACTGCCCAAGCAAGTTTGCCCAAGTCTTTCACCTCATTAGTTAAACTAAGTGGCTTTGGGACTCACAGTAAATGTCTAAATGTGGATTATTACAAGGGAAGGTGGGTGGGTGTGAGCTGATGGGCGGCAGACCCGGCCCCTCAGCCTACACGTGACCCATCGTCACCTGGGGCAGTTAGTAAACTCTGTACACAGTGATTGTTCTACTCTCCCCAGCCCCAAGGGGCTACCTCACCCCCCAGCCACGGGGGGCTACCTCATCCCCCAGCCACGAGGGCTACCTCACCCCTCAGCCACGAGGGGCTACCTCATCCCCCAGCCACGGGGGGCTACCTCACCCCCCAGCCACGAGGGGCTACCTCACCTCCCAGCCACGAGGGGCTAGGGTGGACCAGCATTTTAGTTTAAGGTCCGCGTAGGTAATATTCCTTAAAAAAAAAAAGAAAAAAAAAAGAGGAGCTACCTCGCCTTATCTTCACTTTATTTAAAACTGTTACAGTATTATATTAAACTTTACATTCTTGCCAACGCCAAACTCACTTGAACCTCGTGTTATTAATTTGTTTACTCTACACTAAGCCTCGTGTTGTTTTCTATTAATAAAAATATTGTCATATTGAACCTACAGGTAGTATACTGTGCATGCCCCCCCCCCCTTCCTTTCACCACGCTTGTTTGGGCGATATCTCACGTATTTGTCGAGCGAGAAAGATGAAATTTGGACACAATAGTGACCAGTTGATTTGGCAAATTGGTGTTTATTTATTTGTTTATTTATTTTTTAGCTTTTAATTACATCTTGTTAATCTCAGGGTAAGACGGGCGTGGACAATGTTTCTACTACTGCTACTACTTCTTGTTCTTATTACACCTAGTACTATATAATGACTCGGGTATTATCAGAGATGAAAGAAACCATTGGAACACTTGCTTTGGCTTTTAGAGAGAGTTTGTTCATACACATTGTACCTTGGTAAGATTCATAATACGGATCACCTGAAGAATCTGCACCCCAGCTTATTTCAGCAAAAGAATAAACACCCCAACACTATTTGGGTGGAAGAGGTTAGGTTAGGTTAGCGTGGTATGTCTTCAGGTGAAATAATCTGGGAGGATAATGTTCAGGTGATCCACGTTTGAGTATTAATCCTCCTGGTGACGGTGTGGCGGGTGACCGGAGCGGCCTCTTTGGTGGTGTGGAGATCGACAGTATAACTGAGTAAATATTAAGGTCCTCGAACCATCTTCCAGGATTACTGTCGGGTCAGGTCAGGGTGGGTGTCAGGACGAGGTCACATACATTTAAGGACAATTACAGTAGATATGACCATTATGAAGGCTGGGGGGGGGGGTGTTAGAATGTAAGCATTACCCTAAAACTCGAAAATAAAGCCAATATTTGGGATCACCTGAAGAATCTGCACCCCAGCTAAAGATTAATCACGACGTATTGTGTATTTAGCCAATAGAGTTGAATAAATATTTGTGGCAGTTACTTTACAGCGAGGACGGGCCTCCCGCCAGCGTTCAGGTTCTTTGTGTTTATTTTATAAGTAATATATGAACCACTGAGCGCATAATATTTCATTACAAGTTATTATAAATCGTCGTTATGAATTTTCGCCAGACTACTGTATCGACCACGTTTATAAACTTACGCCACCAGAAACCTTGTATGTACTTATAAGTGCTGTATACACATATACCGTACAATATCACCATAGTTTAACTAGCAATGTAGTATATATGAGGGTAATTCTCGTATTATGCCACGCAACATATAATGGACCTCAAACTATGCGTCTCCTCAAAGTACTCACGTAAACAAAATTGTAACTAAAAAAATGTAATTCCTGTACTTGTCAACTAATCAGATGGGTCCACGTCAGAGAGGGGCGTGTTGATGGGGATGGCCATATAAAGGTGAGTAGGACAGGTAGAGCATCGAGCAAATTAAAAAATAAAAAAAAAGTGGAAAATCCAAACTTATACACAAAAACTAAAGATCATTCACATTGCCCAAACAAACCCAGCACCAATCACAGCCAACAACGAACCTATACAATACTCCAACGAAGGCAAAATAAGAACACACAGCTGGTGGCCCAAGAGCCTCCATGCTAACATAGAATAACCAGACCCACTTTATACATATATGTGAACAAATAACACCACCATTTAGCAAACATAAATTAGCACACATCGGGCGCGTGCTGTGAATGGCCACCACCCCAACCAATCATCTCGATTCAGGTAGGTGGACAGCCCACCTGTTACCACTCCCTACTACTTTACTTCTCGTTTCTATTCTTTCCTTCTCTCTTTCCTCTCCTCTCTCATGGCAAAGTTATTTGCCACTTTACTTCATTATCATCAAATCATCACTCACCAGTCCCAGCAGTTACCCAGGTGTTATCAAATATTGAGCCACAGGGACGAGGGGAGGATGGCGGCCACAGTAGTCGCTGCCCTGGCCGTCAACAAATCAGCCATAATAGCTTTATACAGTAAGAGCCAGATGGGACACTCCCTCGACCAGCTGCAGCGTCTCGTGCCTCACTGTCCAAAGAACCGCAAAGTAACCAAACTGGAGTTGATCGAGCGCGTCATCGACTACGTTAGCGACCTCCAGGACACCCTCCAGTCCGACTTTGATCCTGACAGTCGTCCAGAAAGTCCCAT